GACCGGGGACTTTCCGGAAGGTGGTTCATCGTCTTCAGATAAGCACGTATGTGTCTCTTTTCTTTTGATGATGTTTATCGACTTAGCTTATAATTCATATTAAATATTATAACGTTTTATTTATTTTATAGGAAATTCAAACCTTAAAGACCCAACTTAGAGACTTACAGGAACAAAGTCAGCGCCAACTTAGAGACTTACAGGAACAAAGTCAGCGCCAACTTAGAGACTTACAGGAACAAAGTCAGCGCCAACGGCTGGCGGAGGAGGAACGACGTTTGGCAGAGGAGGAGCGATGGCGGGCGGCGGAGGAGCGACGTTTGGCGGAGGAGGAGCGATGGCGGGCGGCGGAGGAGCGACGTTTGGCGGAGGAGGAGCGATGACGACAGAGGGAGGAGCAACAGGATAGACGAATTCAAGATATGGCTGCTTTGGTTACACAGCTCAGTCAATCTCAACATTTCCCCCCGCCACCACCATTTTGAATATTGTCTTTTGCTTTGAAACAATTTAGTTTTGTTTATAACAATTTAGTTTTTGTTTGGTTGGAATAATTGTAGTTTCACATTAATGTATGATATTTAGTTCTATTTCGCCTTTTTATTTTCAGTTTTAATATTGTACAGATTTGTAGGTTTTAAATACAGGTATTAAATACATGTTTTAAATATTAATTTTAAAATAAATTTAAAATATTAATATTTATATATTTTTCCGGCGGATATATCCGCCGGTATTAAAAAAAAGAAATTAATTCTTTTAGAAATATTATTTTAAAAAATATATATTAATATTTATATATTTTTCAGACGGATTTCCGGCGGATATATCCGCCGGTATTTTTTTTAAAAAAAATTTAATTCTTTTAAAAATATTATTATATATATATTTTACCGGCGGATTTATCCGTTGGTTTTTTTTTTAAAATTAATTCTTTTAGAAAATTAATTATTTTTCCGGCGAGAAATATTTCAGACGGAATTTTCCGCTGGAAATTTTTTAAAAAAAAAATTAAGGATTTGTTAAGTTAATCAAGATTTTTTTTAAAAACGGGCGAAGAATTTTCGGCGGCCGTGATCCGCCGGAAACGGGGAAAATCCGCCGGAAAAACAATCACCGGCGCCCCTTTTTCCGGCGGCCAAATCCGCCGGAAATCACTTTTTTCGGCGGATTTCTGGCGGATTTGGCCGCCGGAAAAAGGGTTTTTTTTGGTAGTGTTATCGGGTAAGACTCTTGGTCTTTGTCTGGCTCTTACTGGGTAAGATGTTTGGTTCTTACCACATTCATCCGATAATGTAATGTGATTTGGTAAACGCTTACCCGGATAAACGTTTGGTAAACGACCTCTAATTACAAAATTTCTATTTGTTGAAGATGCTCTTGACTTCATTTAGGGGGTGTTTGGAATTGCTTATTTAAAACAACTTATGTTTTTTTTGTAAAAGTGCTTATTAACTTATGTGATATCAAATCAGAGTAAAATAAAACATGGTTAAAATTGTAAACTGATAATAAACATTTTTTGATAAGTCAGGAAGGATTAATTTATCAAAAACAGCTTATTACCGGTTTGACACCGGTATAAACATTTTTTTTCTTATCCAAACACTAAAAAACAACTTATCATCGATGCCAGACTGAAATAAATTAAAAAATAATTTTTATAAGCAATCCAAACACCCCTAAGTGCTTAACTGGCAAAGGATACTAGATTAAACAATGAAACATCAAGGTCCTTAATTGCAACTTTCACAAAAAGACAGGGTTCTCAATGTAATTAAATGTCATCGTTTAGGCTGGGATAAGATGATGGATTGCCATTAGAGGTGACCTTCAAAGCTCTGAAGCAGCGGTGGTGTTGCAGAAATTCAATGGCTGGGATTGCTACCAGCTGCTCCATCTCTCCTTTCAAACAACCAATTTCTCTCTCTCATTTTCAATCAAAACTCTTCCATCTCCGCCTTGACTTCCCTAATTCCTCCATCTCACGCGGTTGCAGCATCACCTGCCGGTACGGTGGCGGCGGCGGAGGTTATTCTCGACAAGGAGATAGTAGGCGGCCTAAGAAGAACAGTTCTGATGACGACCCAGCCCTTGATATCTCCAGTATTAGGTATTGCTACGATTGTCGATCGAGAGTCATGCATGCTTACGACAAATTCAAGATTTTCTAGACGACTGTAATTTTTACAAATCAATTTTAAATAACCTGCTGAGAGATTACCAACATACTTGCAAAATCCCAAACGAAAATCGTTAATTTCTCGCCCAAGTGCTACCTATTACGCATTATTAAAATTTATCGACGATATATAAGCAGTTTCTTGGTCATATATGCTTTAAAAACTGCATCTATAAGCGTATAGCACATATGTTATAAACACTTGTTTGCTTGTTTGAAATGCTTATAAGCAGGATTATACCTATGTGAATGAGCATCTGAACTAGAATTAGTTTGCAGCCTCTTTTCTACAAGTATGAAGTGTTCTTTCTTTTCTGCTGTTTGTTGGTTCAAAATAGGTCAAGTACTGTGAGGCTTATTGATGAGGAACAAAATATGGTGAGTGTTTCTGAATCACTTCCTTTTAACATCTGTGTTTTATGTTTCTATGTTGGGACTGATTGGATTGTTTTACTAGGTTGGTGTAGTATCTAAAACTGCTGCTATTCAGATGGCTGAAGATGCTGAACTTGACCTGGTATGTGTGTAGTTAGTATCTCATGTTTCAATTGCTTTTGAAATTATTATAAACCCTTTTTGACCTATACCTTATAGACTCCTTTAATTGTTTCATCTTCTTGCTTTGCTATGATGGTCACCAGTATACTTTGCATATTTTCCGAGTGCATTTAAATTTAGTCAGTATGACATCTGGTAGAATGGCATTTAACACTATTAACTTATCTATCTTTGAACTTCTCAAAGCTGAAGGTGGTCATGGTATTGACCCTTGGGCATTGTAAGAATAAGAGGATACCCTTGTTGTTTTCTTAAGTTCCCAACTATTTATGATGCCTTCTTGAAGCTCATCTTCAAAGTTTACAATGCAAAGTAGTCATAGTCTTGAAAGTTCACATTAGCATAGGCAAAAAGATGAAACTCCTGTGATATCTTGAATTCTCACCCTTTTATGTTGTTTTCCCAAGTATTAAAGATCTCACATAGGAAAAAGAGCAAAAAAGGTGTAGATCCTTAATTAACACATTCTAATACTGCAAGCATATTATTTACGAGTTAAGTGCAAATGTCCTCAAACGATCACACTAGAAAGTGTTTTTGCATGGTTTTTCGGCAAATTTAAAACTTGATTATTACAGGAAAGACAAATTGGCAATTAGAAACTTTTACTTTATCTCTCATATCTAACTTGAAAATTTTATTTGTGCTCGAGTATAATCAATGAAAATATAACTACATACTCACCCGTCTCCTATTTTCATTGTAATTTGTCTTTACTTCTGAGATGTTCTTGTGTTGTACACTGATGGCATAAAGAACAGTTAACAGTTGCAGCCTGCAGGCATAAAATTTTCTATGCCTCTTGTTTCTCTTGGCTATTACCTTCGTGAGTCTCTTCCTACATATATGATAGCAATGAGAGATTAGCAATTATGACCATGGAATTTCATCCATGCAAAGTATTCTACCATGATAAACGTAATAATTGTTTCTTGCTCATAGTGAAGCTATGCATATACATGCAAAAAGTACAAATTCACATAACATAGTTCTCGCTTTAGGAAGGACATGGAAGTGTCCTCTAAAAAAGTTCTAACTTTCAAGTAGACTTATTGATAATCAATAGTCTTACCCTCAAACATAATATTCATATGTTAGATGCCTCTTATATCAAAGGCCGAGTACTTAGGATTGTTTATCGGACAAATCAGTTAATAAATCCAAAATTCCCTAGCAATCCCTTGAAGCCGCCCATGGAATACAAATCAACTAAAGGTTCCTTCCACATATTCTAGTCATGAAGTATTGTTTACACTCTATATGCAAGTCCTGTGCAATAAATTAAGTGTAGTAATCATTGAATAGATCATGATATGCTGTAATTACAATGCTAATTAGTTATTGACTGAACTCTGAAGGCTTCTTTTTCTTGGCATTTGACTATGTTAGACCTGTTAAACTGGGAGTAGAGGATGATCAAGCAACTCCCGGTACATTTTTCTACATGACAATTTGACCAGGTTAGACCTGCTAAGTGATAACCATGGGTTGGGGTAGGTAGGTTCAGAATACAGGTAAATGTAGCCTATGGTCCATCACTGAATCTAAACATTACTCTTTGAGACACATGTGATATAGAGTCAGCTACATCCGGAACAAGGAGAAAATTCATTAGGTGTGGACGTATAGTGGGAGAAACAAAATATGACCCTAAATTCTCTATTTGCACTTCTTGCATTGATTAAAAGGTTAAAAGTATATTGGCTACCCCTTTCCGAATTATACTAGCTTTTTAGAGATAGAGCTATAATAATGAAAACTAAGAAATGCAAATTGTGTTTGACTGTTTTCAATGCCATTATGATATCAGGGGATGCTTGGTTGGAGGTAACAAGGGCCAGGGGGTGGGGAATGAAAATGAAAATCACTTATGATGCCTGGTTTTATGCAATGGAATGGGCCGTTACCAGATAGGGGTAATGAAACTTTCCTCAACAAAATTGAGAGGAGGAGGGGGGATGGGACTCATTGCCATTTTCATTCCTCATCATTCCTCATCATTCCCGTTACATTCTCATTTACATTTTTTGAAACAGATCGGACACCCCTTAGTTTTTTTGGGTTACGATATACATTTTTTTTGCACGAGGGCATGCAGGCTCGTTTTGCATCTAGACGATAATCTTGGAGTATCAACACCCATATCATTCTTATTATTAGGCCATCGAGCATCTAGCTTTTTGGATTTGGTCCCATCCTCTAGGTGCTAATAGCTTAGAGGTCAAGGGTTCAAGTTCCCTTGCTCCCTTGCCTTCTCTCTAAGAAAACATCCTATTTGTTTCATCAATCTAGATGTCATACATAAGAACCTAGAGGACAATGATGATATTAGGGAAACTAACAGTTGGTATTATGATTCTGCTTGGAGATCATTTCATTTAGATTCTTGTGTCAAAATAGTAAGATATATTATTTTAACTAGAGAGATCAAGGTGGTCGGCTGACACTAGTGTGAAGGCCTATCCCATCCCCATGCATGATAGTAGGTTTGTAACTCACTTCTTTCGCAATTTCGCTGATGCTAGCAACATATATTATGTAATTTGTAGTACCTTTGAAATTGCTCTTAAATCTAGAATTCATAATCAGCAGCAATGCCTTTTCTACATGTGCATTGTTAAAAGATTTTTTTTTGAGATATTTTTAAACTTTATGTGAACCATTCTGTTCTTCCTTAATGAAAATACTTCACTTTTGTAGGTTATATTGTCTCCAGAGGCAGATCCTCCTGTTGTCAAGTTGATGGATTACAAGTAAATTACATCTCCTTTTTTATATCTAGCAGGGATCAGTTTTCAGATGCATGAGGATATTAGTGGTCATGTTAACCAAGTTAACGGCCCACAAAGGGAAAATAAGAAAAAACTTGTGAGAAAATTTGATCTTTTCCACACCCCTATTCTTTTCCCAATAATGCGTCCCTTCACATTTACATGCGTGTAAAAGAAGTTTGTCTACAAAAAGGATTCAGGACATGTTGCTGACCCACAATGTCATCTTACATAAGCTTTTCTTTATTAGCACAATCCGGAAACAGATATTTAATCCTAGTAATCCTTTGCTTATGTGGTCATTGACTTACCTGCAAAGTACACCATCTTTCACCCTCTTATGTTTGACTTAATAGTTTCCCATCTTTTGGATATGATTCTTTTTATCCCTTGTATCCAAATGTTATCTTTTTTTTGTTAAAAGGAATTATGATATTGTGAACGATGCTGCTGTGAGTTCAATTCTATTTTTTTATTTGTCCTATAAAGCTTTAGATCCTATTCGTAATGCATTCGTCATTAATCCGACAAATTTCACAGCAAATATAAGTATGAGCAACAAAAGAAGAAAAGAGATCAGCAGAAGAAAAGTTCTGGTGAATGCCTCTTCTTTTCTTGTCAAGCTTTCCAATTTCTTCTAATATTAATTTTATTAATGCACAACCTTCAATTATAAGAAAAACGATACTGACCAAAGTGTGTACTTTGATGCTAGCTCATCGTGTGGATCAAAAGGAGCTCAAAATGGGGTAAGAAACTTTAGTTTCATACACAATAAACCCTCTGTTTTGGTAATTATTTTATTTGTTTACCTAAAATATATGCAAAACCTACTAGCTTATGAAGTGCACCCTCTTCTTATGCTATGTAAGGCCATTTTTTGGCAACCATAAGCTAGCTTATCTTTTTAACTCCGTTTGTGTGGACAAAAAATAGCTGATAAGATGGCTTATTGATATGCTACTTGGAGTAACGATTCAATAAGCTCGGCAGCTTTTTGGCACTTTCTTCCATTTATAGTGCCGATTATTATTAATTGTTATTTATTAGTATTAATTATTAATACATATCATATTAATTGAAAATTATAAATAATTTTAATTGGAAATTATTTATTAATTATTTAGAATTATTATTAATCATATCAATGATTTTAATTATTATTCAATATATTTAGTCGTCAAAAAGCAAATATAACAATTTTAATAATGTTTATGTAAGTTACATAAAGAATAAAGTTATATATATTTTTATTATAAAAGTGTGATAGATGATTTTAATAAGATATTTAATTATTCATGATTATTTGGTTGAAAAATTATTAATTAATTATGATATGTAAGGTTGGCCAACTATGTTTTTATTCATATTATATGTAACGGTAATTTAAAATCATAAATTAATGTAGTTCTTCTTAAAAGTTGTATTTAGTTATACAAAATCCAAAATTTATAATATGTATATATACGAGTAATTAATAATCAAATTGAAATTCTATTAATTAATATATTATATTATTTAATTTTGTTTACTATCTKGTTTGTATTAATTAAAATATTATATTATTAGTTATTTGTTCTACTTATATTATCAAATGTTGCAGTCGAATAATTTATCAACATGTCCTTTTTGGTCATTTTTCAACTAGCTTAGCAGCTAGTTTTTGCCAAGCATAATTAGTTCATCAACTAAGCTTATTAGCAAACAACTAGCTTATCAACTAGTTTGCCAAACATGGTCCAAATCAATGGTAAAAGATAGCTGTATCTTTGCCCTATTTTATGTTACGACTACCAATCTTCTGCAATTTGATTTAGTCAGAAGTTTGAACCTTTTAACTTATCCTTTAGTAAAAGGAAAAATGGATAATAAAGTACTGTACTTTGGTGCTATTTACAATTACACACTTGAACACAAATTTTTATGTTAATTTGATTTATAAAATTGGACGAAAGTGATATAACCGATGTGATTACGAGAGTATGCATGTAATTAATAAATCTTGTTTGAGTATGCAGTTGAAAAGAATAACAAGTACAGTGACATTTTTCATTTTTGCCTTCTTGAAATCCTCAAATTAAAATTTTCAAATTTTATCTATGCTACCCGTTTGTATCTGTTGTATTGCAGTTGGGATTCTTGTTACTAATCTATTATTTACAATTCAATAATTGTTGTTGGCAGCTACAACATCGATGTGCATGATTATACCGTCCGCTTGAAAGCTGCTAAGAAGTTTCTTAAAGATGGTGACAAGGTTCCTATAAATTCTTGTGATGGTATATCTAATACTTGTCATATCATGCCTTTTTATCCTCAACTTTTTGGTGATCTCATAGGTTAAACTGATAGTAAGCTTGAAGGGCCGTGAAAACGAGTTCAAAAACAATGCTATCGAGCTCATTCGACGTTTCCGTGATGATGTAGGAGAGGTACGTGATATGCTTTATTTCATCAAGAAACGAGTTAAAACTTACTTAGTTTCATATTTTTGTTTGATGTAACATTCTTTTCACATGCCAACCCTTAATGAAGTTTGATTCAGTATTAATTGGCAATGCAAATATTTTTTTTTGGAAGTATATAATATTTATACACGACAAATACAACAAATAAACTCACACACCCTCCTCACTTTTGGTAAGGTTTGAACCCCTAGGACTACGATACTGCTAGGCCAAAGGTTCTTTGGTGGCAATGCAAATCTTGTTGTGCTATAATTTGCATCTTAACCATATCTGTAATTTTTCTTTGTCCTAATTTATGTGCCTGAGTTTATCTATCCCAAAATAAGGGTCCACATTTCCATTTTATTTTTTCCCAAAAGAAGTGTCCACTTTCAAAAGTAAGTGGTCTACCTTCCAACTCTACCCTTATTATGAGATAGAGAAATTCCTTACTCCCTCTATTATTAAGGCTAAAATTGTCATTTAGTTAATTAGGAAGCATAAGACTTTCACATTCCTAAAACAGTGTGCCTTCTTTTATCGTGGACATATTTTGGGACGGAGGGAGTAACATGTTGGGGTTCTGGCAACATCTCCATACCCTAACTTTGTGTGGGATATATGGTTCGGTTTGGTAAATCATTTCTAAACAACCAGAAACGTTCCATTTTGCAGAAACAACACTCCAGTTGACAACAAATGTGTTCTTTCACTACATTTCAGCCACTTGTTCTTTCCTTTGTCGACTCGAATGTTGCTTTACGTTGTTTAGAAACTAAAACGATTTTTTAATACAAATCTCTCTTCCAATCATGAAATCCTTGCAGCTAGCCGTAGAGGAGAGCAAGAACTTCAGGGACCGGAACATGACCTTGGTGTTGGTTCCAAACAAAGCCATTCTACAAAAAGAAGCACCAAAGAAGAAAGAAAAGTCAACTGAGACCGAAGTATCTGCTAGTGTATGAGCATGAGCATGACCGTACAATTCGTGTTCATAATTCTGAGGAAGGACAGTAAGCTGCTAATCTTCATTTACTTTAACATTTAACACATTTTCAAAAGCATGTATAGCTCTAATCCACTACACTTGTATGCAAAATAGCTGTTTTCCTTTCTCGTCCCAAGTGCTTTTTTTTTCTTACTCTTTTTTGTAAGTCAAGGGGTCTTCATGGAAACAACTGATTTATTCATTGGGGTAGAGGACAAGTATGTTTATATCCCAATCCTGGACCCCACCTCCTAGTGGTTTTTATTGGGCTCGTTTGATTTTGTTTGGTTTCTCGTTGCAATAGCAGTAACCCTGGTATAATTGTTGTATGTTTCAGCTTGTTTAGCCAGCCATAATAGTGAATTACGATGCGTTTCATGCGAATGTGAAAATGTGTCTAGCCTGTAATCTTACGTAGGACTTGTATCGATTTTCTGAAGATATTGTTATCAAGACTTTTAAGAAGTCAACCGAGTAGGTTTCCGTCACCGTAGTTGAAGATCAGGTACGATCTTGTTCTATTTGTTCTGATACCTTTTTGTTAGCTACTCTTTCCATCCCATGAAAATTGTAATACCGTATTGTATTGGCAAATCTTCAGTATAAATTATCTATTTGCCTATGGTTACTCTTACAAACGATTTATGCTCGTTCTTGGTTCATAAGATTACCTTATATTGTCATTCTTTAAGGATAATTTAGATAAACAAATCAATGATCAAACACTTTTACCAACCCTCGTTTGAATCTAACGTTGCAATTTTCATGGATGGACGAGTACTTGTTAGCCTTTCTTGCTGGAGAATGCGCATGATTCCGGGGAACTTGATGTGAAGTCGAACACTGATAACTTATGCGACACGATTGTCAAAGATGTCACCAAGTCTATAACTGAAGATCTTAAAATACGCTACTAAAACTCGTTCACACGCAACACTAACAGTGCAAAGAGTTGGCTTGATGTTCTTTTTTCTGGCTTGTTTATGAATTTGAGCTAGAAGTCCTACACGATTGGAGGGTGTCAAACGAGTCAAACTCAGACCAGGGTTACGAGCTTCTGCTGAGTCAAAAGGAGGTGAGAACTCGTTGCCATTGCTACCAAACTCAAAGATTCTTGGCACCCAAGTTACTGTTTCAGAAGCAATACCATGTTCCACATTTAGAGAAAAGGTTTGACAGATAAGAAACCCACCTGCATCAATTTACAACTAACAATCAAAACTTTTATTCTTTTGGCCATTATTCATTTGAATACAACAATATATACTCTTTTTGCTAATATAATGCAAGATGATATAGAAAACATGCATTTAATGTCTCACATATGCAACTTTTTGTGACGAAATATTTACACATTCTTTCTCGAAACCCGAGAAAAAAAGATGTGGTGGCTGTATTGCAACTTCTTGCTTCTTAGGAAACCTATATATACCCATCCTATTAGGTTCACTGCTAACAACAAGTACCCTACATGAAAGACGAATAGCTAGAAAGCGCGTCCCGTTTTGTAGCCGCTCAACCACAACCCATATCGGGTCATTCTTCTCAACATTTCGTTACTAAACCATAGTTCCAAACTGGAATGTCCAACTGATGTAAGAATCCACTAGCCTGTTGGTGTTCTACTTTCAGTTGTAGACATGTGAGGCTGTTAAAGTCATTGATTATCTGCCACCTAAGTTCTTCCCATATATCTCCTCCATCAAAGCATTGTTATTCCTAGATTTTTAGGAGCAATTTCAATTACAAGTCAAGATTGTGCTGTTATTGATATGGTTGCAAGTGCCCCCAATACTTTCTCTAATGATCATCAGTACTATGCTATATTTTTTTGATTTGTGCAATTGCACTCAATACAAAATATATATATATATATATATATATATATATATAGCAGATTACATGATGATCATTACCAAGGGTATTGAAGGCATTTACAACCATATCAAAACTGCACAATCCTATCTTGTAATTAATCCTAAATCTAGGGATAACACCAATATCACTGATTTAATGGAGGAGATTGATATGGGAAGAACTATGTGGCACCTTGTATGCGTGTCGGTATTTCTTTGCTCACGAGATGATTAAAGGGTAATTTTGGGTTCACCAATGCTCATCCCTCGACTATGTGAGAGTTGAAAAGCAACATCTGCGTATGCATTTTTTCCCTTGTATTTCTTTTCTATATCTAAATCCATGACCATAAAGGAGCAAGTAAGATTCCTCATTGCTCCAAGACTTGCTCATACTCGCGAGACGATGGTAGTAGAAGTAAGTTGATATGTTGGATGCGAACACAAGAGTCATGGAGGTGTCCAAGCTTGTTTCAACTGTACTAGATGTGTCCCAAGGCTGTATTCCTTTAGCTGCAAACAACCAAAATTAAGATTAATCAGGTTCTTAGTTATAAAGAAAACAATCTGTTTTTTTTATCATGCAACAAATGAAACAACTTAAGAGACAATAGAATTTGCATTCGTTTAGATGTGAGTAGTGACAGTAGTACCAAAGAAGCTTATAGCCAACGAGTTGATCGAGGGCCAAAAGACACTGATGTACCAAAATGAGGGTTGCACATTGTTAGAGAATTTGCTCAATGTTACTTGAACATTAAAGAGTTGCCAATGTATCTCACCAGGAGGTAGGGCCGGGAGAGGTAAGATATACACAGACGTTTCCAAGGGGTAGAGGAATTGTTTCCATTAAGACCTCCACAACTTGCAAAAAGTTGTGGAATGTCATGAGCGAAACATAAGTTTGTCGGAATTTTTGGAAGATTATAACAAGGAACAAGACAGCATGAGATAAGAGTAGCAAAAGTGTGTGCAAACAAACATTGAGGACAATAAACAGTGTAGATTGAATTCACATAATGACTCAAAGCATCAAAAACTTTATTTTATTGAAAGGATTTTTGGTTCTTCTCAAAGGAATGATCTATTTTATTTGACTGATGGGAACCGTGCAGTACCAAACACGAAGAGATCTTCCAAAGAAAGGTAGGAACATATGTTACGGAAATGGGTTAAAAGTGTTAGAACAAGCGAGGAATAGCTAAACCGTTTTAAAATGCACTCCTAACCATCTTAGGGCATTGCTAGTCTATCTATCTTGTCGACTCCTTGACCCTCCCCACATCTACACTAACTACTAACTACTTGGTTCTTACCAACATACATTACCTTTCTTGTGTCTCCAAGAATTCCTATCATAGGTCCTTGTCCTTGTAAAGGTTTACGGCAGCCATGTCCAACCTTAGTTGTTCGTCCCACATCCTCCTTGATTTTCAAGTTGAATGCCATCGAATCGAACACTTCTACAAACAACTAAACGAGTTTTACAGTTCTGTTTCTTAATGTTGCTCATAGTTAAAGAGTGTGTTATATTTGCTGTTGGTTTTATCTCTACTTACATTGGGTATAACCTTATTTTCACTTCCGTAATACTTTAACTTCCATTATTATTCAGAAACACGGATGTTCAACCTTTCATTCCTTCTCTCTTCATCTGCATATACATCTCTCGATCTGTTTTCATCTGATTTCTTCACGCATTGATACAACTAAGAGTTAAAGTCGATACTAGTTCTATCCTTCGAGGCAATTAAGATTGAAAACAATCCAAGTTGTCCCCATCATGCAGCATTGTTAACGGGCAAAACCAGAGTTGGTGAAAGCAGCAAAAATGAACCCGATCCTGTATTGTTGCTGGCACAACCAAGATAAATGGCTGACCTCGGTGCACCAAGGCTCCATGGCTTTGTGAGGGTTTGGTGTTCTATTTTTCAGCATTAGATGCATAGGTGATGAATGAAACAACTAAAACTTGTGATCTAGGTGAAGAACCAAAGTTTTCCGTCCATCATACAAGCAATTGGCAATGACGAATACTCTTAAAACAAATCTATTCATCATGCTCATCGGGCTGAGTACATATTTGACATAATCTGATCGTGCAAACTCGGGTAATAAAAGTGTCTTTACCTGTAAAGAAGCTGCAGAAATCAATAGAACTTCACATTCATCAAGAAGAGCTCTTTCCTGTGCTGCTACAGTAGCAAGTTCAGATACCAGCCAATTTGATCCCTCCAACTGGATAAAGATAGTAGGAATCAGTATTATGAGTTATGACTACCACTAACAAAATGCTTCCAAAATCTTTGCATACAAATTCTAATATACAAAAGCTACCAACATATAACACACAGCACAACTCTCACCGTTGATAGAGTAGAGTGTAAGGAGGACCCCATTGTTTGCATTACTTGGATAGCTGAGCAAAGAGATGACTTCACAGTTTCAATATCTACCTGAAGAATTGTATAACTTGACTGTTATTCAAATAAATAGATATTTTATCTATATGTCGTTTCAAGAAGTGACATACCGTAGCCGCTCCAGTTACAGGAAGTTGGAGAGTGCTTGATTGTAGATCTTCGATAGCACCAGACAGAGAAAAGTGGTTCTCCCTTTCGATTGAAGTCCATTCGTCGAGGTGGGCCATCTGAGCCAGAGATATCACAATAAAGGATATCAGCAAAAAGAATATATAAATACGAATGACAAGAAATAAATGTCTTCAATTACCACAAGAAGAACTAAGAGTTTCAGATTTAGAAGAGAAGATCAAAAACTGAAAGCACAAATGGCAGGAACACCGAGCACAGGGATATATTAGAGCCTGGACGTGTAGAACGTCCTTTTCAACTATTTTAACACCAGACTCATGAACGATATAACGTAAATCAGAAACACTTCCTGTCCTTATAATCCTTTGGCACAGAGATAGAATTGGTCAATTCTCTCGGGTGCAAGCCAGTCTTACACATGAACCCAAATTGACCTTTGTCAATAAACGAAACCAAATGAGGCCAAATTATCCCATCCGGAGGTGCGGTGCGACTCTTGTCAATATAATAGAAAATATAGTTGAAACAAGGAAATGCATGCTAGTGCCAAGTTTTCATCTTAACACATAACAATCTAGCGATATTATGAACTAGCATATGCACAGCTTCTTGTATTCTTCCTTTTGTTTCCTAAATCTCGTTGGCATAAAACTTGTACTTGGCTGATGACCTTTGAAATGACATGATGCAGATCTCCGACACTTTCGAGTTAAAGTTTACCAAGATTTGAAATTATATTGTTATATTATCTGGACATGCAAAGGGAAGAACAAAATACACTGCCCATAAAATTGAACACAACCATGCAAAAAGTCCTGTTAGCAGTTAAAATGTTGCAGGAAGATGCATTACTTGTTGGTTTAGAACCGAGTGAAGCTTTAGCTTCAGTCTCAACTGATTGAGATCAGTCCTCTTTGCAGCTACTGAATCCCGGAGTTCCGAGGTACTTCTCCACACGTTAAATAGAGATTTCTGTGTCAAAAAATAATATGTTTCAATCTCAAGGCTATGTGAGATGGTCAAATTTGAAATCAATAAATCAAAATGCTATCAATCACACAAAGATCTAGCTTATAAAGATGTGGTATAAACATCGTTTTGGAAATCAAGGCAGAAAGTAAAGTGGTGCATTCGTGGTATAAACATAGCTCAAAGTTCTTATCAAGTCCATTTCCTAAGATCAATAATTCCATCACCTACGTTGAGTTAATCGCAAGGAGAAATCTGCTCAGAAGCCGACAAAAAGAACATTCATGCAAAGCAACAAAGAAACTCAAAACGTGAAAGATACCAGTCAGATGTAATCCAACACCAAAAGGAATTTAAGAAATTCCATGGAGATAAGGAAGCAAACCTTTGAAGTTGCTTTCTGAGACTTCAAGGCAGTTTCTGCACTGGCATTAACAAACCGCCACTGCATTTGCCTATTGTGAAGTAACCTCAGGTAGTGAGCATCTTCTATCTGGTCAGCCACCCTCTTTCCCTTTTTCATGTCAACAGCAAATGTGAGAACGGAAACTCTGTTTGAGTTGCAGGATCTCAAAGGACTAGACGACCTTATGCGAGAAGGACTGGCCCCTCTTGAAGGAGCTAGACTTATGATCCTGGTCCGAGATGGACTGACACTCTTTGAAGCCAAACCAGATGGCTTATTGGGTAAAGATGGCGGTGCTCCAGTAGCTGGCAAAGATTGCGATCTTGCTGCAGAAGTAGCTGTAACAGTTTTCTCTGATAAACTTGAAGAAACAAGATTAGATATTCTCTGTAAATTGTGATATTCCTCCCTTCTGTTATCTGCAGATGATGATAGTAACCTCCCAGGATCACTTGTATATTTTTCTAAGGGCTTACTAGTATAATCAGGTAAGAGCATTCTCCTGAGGGGAGATGCCCCAACACTTCTATTTGGTGCAATAGAAGTTTTCATAGGCTTACCAGGAAGGTTGTTGCTTTTGTTCAAAGCTTTAGAACCTGTTCTGCTAGGCCAGCGATGCTGATCTAGTAGTCTAGCATGTACACTCTCGAGAGGTTTGGAATTCTCTGACCGATCAATGGCATGTTTTCCTTTGGGTGGACTTCTAGAGGCAGACAGTTGTTTCTGTAATACATTTGACGATGAATTCAAGGTGCGATCAGAAAGAGCCTGTGGTGGCGGCTTCTCTTTCTTACTAGTGGACAGAGAAAACGCCACAGACTGGAAAGCAACACTTAGACTACGCATTCGTGAAGGCCATAAGGACTCTGGCAATTTACTGCCAATTGCCTTTCTGGCTGCCAGTTCCATACCCAAAGATGTATCATGGACTGAGGTGGAGGGGCGTGATGGCGATTGTGGTGTTCCAGACCGCCTTCTTTCTGCAGATACAGCTCTATTTGAAACAGGTGATGACAATGTTGTAACTGTTCTCGTGTTTGGGGAAGGATAACGCCTTGGTGCAGGTGATTTGTACCTAGAACTGACTTCCCTTGTGCGAGATTGGCACTTGGTTCCATTGCTCTTTTCGGCAGGACGCAATGGTGGTCTTGGTGTCTCTAGTGTTTCACATACACCCAGTCCATTCAAGTTTGGCCACATTGAACCATCTGTCAAATGATCAACACATCTCCCAGCCCTTTAAAACGGCCTACCTTGGCAGCAATTGCTTATAAAGATGATGCTATATGCTGGCCTTTGTTTTAAATCTGATAGAATGCACTGTCACAAATAGATAAAGAGATATTATGACCAAAAAGGTACAAAAGTGATCAAAAGCTTACATCTTTAGTTTTTTACAGGTAGACCCAGATCTGAGAATAAGAATTTTTCTGAAACTTGCAATAAACCAATGTAAATGGGTTTAGTTACAATACAAAGTTTCCCTGATTTCTAGCATAACAAGAAAGATCTCAGAGCATAGAGAAGTTTAAAGAGGACTAGAAATGCACTTTAAAGACCAGTTCATATCATAACTAAAAAGAAAGAAGGAATTTGTATGATCGATTTAGCCCCTCCGTCAAAATTCAAAATTTTCAGATGAAAATCGAAGAGAGCTCCGATATAACATATGGAGGGGGTGCTTAGGATAAGAAGAAACAAAGTCTCCACCTAAAGGCTGGGAAGAAAATGAGAAGCTGGAGTAATGGTGAGCCAGTTATAATGTTGAAGATATAACTAATGAACAAGAAAAGGATAGCATTGAAATGTTGAGTTCTTGTTTTGGTTGCATCTAATAAGATCATTGAACCTCTGTATATAACATTTTAGAGTTAAGATTAAGGTTTGTTTTTACAATTTTTAATTCAAAGCTAACCATAAAGAAACAGACAAATACTTGCATTAAATTAACAAGGTTTAAGTCAGCACTCAGCATATTGAAAGTAATAATGTATATAATCATAAGCGTTATGGAAACAAACATGGAGAAGCATGTGCAGAAGAAGATCATTGTCCATTTTCATTAATTCATTGAATCCGCTCGCGCAACACAAATATGTATTTACAATACATAGAAACAAGGATGGAATGACGTCACAAATCCATCTAACGCATGTCTGACCGTCAGATTGGCAAATATTTTAATAACAAGAAAACTTGAGTAAAAGCTCATGGATGTAGATTTTTCATTTTGTAATGACTAATCGTGACAAAAGATCATGTGAAAATAAGAGTTAAAAAAGAGAATCGTAGGAAAGATTTAGACCTTGCTCACTTTTAATGTTTAAACAACCTATAAATTATGTTTTAAAAAGAAATTGATCTGTTGTACCTCCTTAGTGTTCTCTTCAATTAGGATTAATCCGGAGATCTCTGTAACTTTCATTCTCACATGAATCAACCCTACCAATTAATTGATAATACTGAAAATTAGTATCATGTGAGAAGAGAAGACTGATATAAGATTATTTTAGTCATGGAGAATTTACAACATTCAGGACTGAGGAACGAAGATCGATGTAAAAACCAGATACAACAAAATTAAATAATTTTATAGTACATGAGTAACAGTTTATGAACAACACATGATGTAGTGTCTAGGTTTTGCAGATCGCTGTCCCCGATTTCCGGAACAGTGCCGAATTCTCAGAAATCGGTAGGAAATATTATTCTACAGATGCATTATTTTAATATCATAACCAAAACAAGATCTTCACTGAATTGGATCTATCGTTTAGCACAACCCTACAAGACAAAAACATCAAACCAAAATAATTAAACTGGTGAAATCTCATCCCATCAAATAATTTTTTCATACTGTCAAATATAAGGATCCAATAAATAATCCTTACAGTATATCATATTACTTTGAGATCTTCACAGTATTCACGCAAATTTCACGGAGCAAATCGATGAACTAACGCAGAATAAGCCGATGAACGGAAACAAACGGATGATTGATGAGAAGAATATTCCGGCGAGGAACAGTTAAAATTGAGGATTTGAACAGAGAGACGTTGATTGAGTTAAGGGGATGGAAAAGTATGTTTTCGCGCCACGACGCACCGACTTTAATCCAAAGAATAATCTCCTTTTGCTAATGACGAAACTAACCCTCAACGATTCCTTTATTGTTACCATGTCAAAATTTTTGGTCAAGGGAAGACTTTTTTTATTTATTTATTTTAATTACGAATATTTACGCTGTGTTCTCTAAATTTGGAAGAAATAAAAGGAAAAAAAAATCTTGTTCTTGAATCGGAGAAAAAAAAATCAATTTTATTAATATTAGAAGGGTACTCGTGCAATGTATCGAGACACATCTTGCTTTCAGTGTTTCGTTTTATTTTTTTACGTCGATATAATACGGTTTTATGTGATTTTGAGAACGCGATAATGTTTTTATTTATTAGATATAATATAAATTTGAAAATATCATAAAATTTTGAAAAAAAATATATTGATATCAGTATCAAATTAACCTTTTTAAATATTTTTGTTTTTAGTATAATTTCCTTAATTCGAATTTTTTTATTATAATTTAATTTAGGTTTAATAATATAATTTTTTATAAAGATAATAACTAACTATTCTGTTAGAACTCAATAATTATCCTAATTATATTTTAGATTTTTTATATTTAAATTGAGATGTTTATCCAATATTTGATTATGTTTATATACAGTTAGTTACACGAGTTCAAAAATGGAGATTTAATAAGTTATACTTATGCACAATTTACTTGTAATATTGAATTTTAAGTAATATGCATTAATAAACAGTACTTCGTGCATAAAAAATAGTTTTTAAGAGATAGATACCCTTTAAAAATATATTCTTTTGAATGAAATATTGATTAGTTTTATAATTTTAGTATTTTCTTTAAAGATTTAATGTTTTTCCTTCTCTATCCTCCCACGTTTAAAAGAAAGTTTTGGAAGAGAATTTATCAGTACTTTCCTTCTCCTTTTTCCCCTTCTTTCTTAAAAAAGTTTTCGGAACATGAGTTTTTTTTTCTTCCTCCCTTTTTCCTCTCTTTCTTTTCCTTTCATTTAATTCGTAAAAAAAGTTTTGAAAACACAACATTAAGTCTGATTATTCTTTTAATGAATGAGTGATTGAATTTTTCATTTTGAATGATCAATTAATTGATTTTTTTAAATAAATAGATTATTAATTTTTTAGGAATTAGTTACCTAAATTTTTTTAATTTAAAAAAAAAATACATATAATCGTCTAAAAAGGTTTTTGAACTTTGTAAAAAACATATCTAAATCAATTTTACCATTTCTAAACCATTATTCCCTCTCGCCGCAGATCTTCGTCCACTTTCCATCACCGCGTACGCCATCATTGGCCCCTGCCCTACATCTCCCTTTTTTGGATTTTTTTCCCCGACTCTACCTCTTTTCTGATCCGTCTATACATACTACATTAAATTTTTGGATAAAAAAAACAACATAATCTTTTGAACCAAACCTCATTTTGTTCAGGTTTTTTATTTGGTCTTTGTTTTCGGTTTGTAAAGATTCCCGTTATTTAAATTTGTTTTTAGCTTGAATATTGTAAGATTTGTAAGTTTATTCAGTTCGATGTTGTTGAGGATGCTATGAACTTATAATTGATTTAAATGTTTGTAAGTAAAGTATGTCGAAAACACCTTCATGGGAAATAAGGGGGTTATACATCTATCTCCTAGCAAATTTAAATCTCTTACATATCTATATTTTTGTAATTATATCAGTTCTATGGAATTTCAATAAGATCAACCAATATAAATTATCAATAACATAAGATACAGTAATTTGACAAAGACTGTTAATTAATAATTTATATTATTTTGGGATTGTTTAGTAAATTCTTAATGGAAAATTTTAATGAATAATTAACCGAGTCGAAGGCATGTATGTGTTTAATAAGCTCTTAATCAACGTATACCAATTAATAAGTCCCTCCTTTTTTTCTCATTCAACAGTGACCGAATCAACATCTTTTCCCAAAGATGAATCCAAAAACAATAGAAATTCAAGCAGTCCCACAAAATAGCATGAAACAACAATTATTTATAAAGAGTGTTCTCATTAAAAACGACAAACACGATTGTTTATAATACTCAAGTGATTTTTGTATCTTACAATGAGGCATATTGAATCATAGTAGATGTACTTTTAAACTCATAATTCTTTTATAATATATAAGAACGATAGAGCTATGGTACCCCTTAATGAATGCACTTTTAATAAATAGACCCTTATCTCTCTCTCCCTTTTCGATATACATTTGGCTGATGGGCTGCTACAAAATAATTCGAATCAACTTTCAATATACATTAAAAGACTAGAGTTAGGTCGAAAATATTACAAAATATTGAATTTTTTTTCTTTTAAAAAATCATTCTATTTTTCTAGTGAATTAATAAAAAGTAGCTATAAACAATTAAGATTTAAAAGTTGATAAAATAATAAAAATTAAGCAGTCAATAATAATTAAAAAATTGTGGGGTTGATCTATTTTTTTAGAGTCAAAACAAGATAGATTTTAGAACGAAACAAACTAAGGGACCGTTTACCAAATACTTACCCGGTAAGCGCTAACCAGTAAAATTTTGCACTATCTTTGACTTACCGGGTAAGATTTTAGTCCACTAAAACGGTATCGTATGCAACAATTTACCTGGTAAGCGTTTACCATGGTAAGAGCCATCGCTCTCACTTACTGGGTAAGACTCTTGGTCATTGTCTCGCTCTTACAAGGTAAGCTTTTTGATCCTTACCATATTTATCTGCTAAGGTAGTGTGACTTGATAAGCGCTTACCCGGATAAGTATTTGGTAACGACCCCTAAGTTTTCTTGAAAATCAAAAGGTTATTTGACCCCAAACCAAAGCATGGATCCGCAACTACCTTTTTCTCATTCAATATTAATCGAAATTTTGATATAACAAAACCTAAATAAAAATAATATATATAGAAGGGCCCTGTGATTTATGAGATTGCGAGAAAAACTTATTAACCTCATATTATGATAACAATGAAAATTAAAAGATTTTTTAAATTTAGAATAATATTAAAAAATGCAAAAAGTTTTGAGCAGGGAAGGGTAATTTTGGAATTCAAAGCGATAGAATTTAAAAAACACGATCATAAACTCCGATCATCCGACAACTGATAATATCACGGGCTGGTTATCGGTTATCTAGTAGACAACCAAGGAAGAAGGTGTGATAATCTTGGAGGACGAGATCGAACAAGATTCAAGGAGAAGATTGTAGAGAGACAAGG